GTATGGTAAAATGAACAATAACATACTCGTAAGTACAGTCGATTTTGTTCCGTGATAAAAAAAATACAACGACAATTGTCATTGTGGTGAATACTCGACATATTTATAAAACATTGAGCATTTGATTCCAACATGGGGGTAATCTTGAAGCTGTTATTACAATTTGCTTTGTTAAGTATTTTACATTGTCGGAGAGTTAGAAATTTAAATTGGCATACATTGTTTTGTGTTCATCAGAGACGAACGGTTTTGGAGTTTATTATTTGATGTACTATACCAAATATCATTGCATATCGACACCCTCATAGATCTTACAAATTATTATAAATGTAAAAAGTATAAAGGTTTCTAGATTATTTTAAAAAGTTATGTTAATTTTTTTAACGATGTCTACATACACAAACACAAATTGTTCATACAATTTCCCTCGTGCATGTACAAGTGCATAGACAGATTTTTGTTTATGGAACAGGTTTATATGAAATATGGTATACAGATGGATAACAAATTTCTTTCAAATCAAAATCAACATCTAGATTAAGAAACCGGGTATCTTTTACTCTAATAGACGCAGGCAAAGCCTCGACATATAGTAGCTAATGACTTACAATGTTAAGAATTTAGTAATTGCCAGTTCCTCTATTATCATCATCTTGCTTCGTTTGACCACTGATTGGAGTTTCACAAAATATTATCCAATTAGTTACACTTCAAAAGTTTTGTCATTAATTAAGTAACTGCTAAAACTTTTACGGATGTTGTGGCTTCAAATTTATTCAGTTTCAAGTTTCAATTATTTTCAACAGAGATGAATTTGAGAAGACTGTGTTTATTAATAGAAAAAGAAAACTTTTTTGTACCCTAATTAACTTGTTCAATCCTTTAACTGTCAAAAATTTTCTTCTAATTGATTACGCCCAATCTCTAATGTAGTATAACGCTTTTGTATTTCATTACACCACTCTGTATAACACTTTTCCATTTTTAGCTTATTTCCATATCGAGAATTGCAATATGCCTTTTTATTTGTTTGATTTTTCATTGGATCGCACAAATCTATCTTCTTTTCTATTACTAACAGATTTCGAAAATTTAAAATATTCGCATAAAGACTGTATTTTTTTAAATTCTTAACTTATAAATTGACTCATTGATTTTTTCCTTTTGATCGCCCTAATTTGTCTGCTCTTTTATTTTCTATCGACGTCTAAAACGTATTTTTAGCAGAAAAATGTTTCCAATGATTTTTCCATATGATTACCCAAATCCGTTTGGTACTTTTTCAATTGACTTCCAAAACGAGGAAAAACGTAATATGACTGTGTTTTTAAATTTTTAATTGATAAATTTGCTTATTTGCCCGAAATCTGTATTTCTATTTTTAACTGACATCCAAAATGATATGATTCCCAACACGATATATTTACAACCGCCAAAAAAAAATTCTTCAATTCGGTTGCATTTTTTTTTTTTTTTAATATTTGTTATTTCATAACTCCGTCATTTCTAAATCTATTTGGAAAAATATTTTTTTATTTGAATACTCTGATATACTTACAGATTTATCTCATAGAAATTTTATCAAAACGAATTTAGTAGTTTAGTTTTTAGATCAAAGCAACTAGTTCTGTAACAATTGAAATCGGCTTTTTTTGTGGGATACAATCTTTAATTATTTAAATTTTGCAAATAAGTTTATTAATTTTAATAAAATCAGCCTGATCTGTGTTGTGTTTTTCTATTTTCAAAAAACTTCCAAAATCAAAAGCAATAGTTTACCAATTCGACTGATTTTCTTTATGTACATGCGACATGGTTTTTATTGCATTATGATTTTATTTCAATGGAAATTTTAATTTAAGTATTAAAATTGAAATAAGTTTTGTTTAGTAGTACATAGTCTTAAATTATCCATTCGTATCAAAATGGCAAGTATTTAATCATATCATTTTATGATAAAGGACTTTTTGACAGCCATCATGCTTGCCAAGTGCTATGTTTTATTTCATTGTAATATTTTAGATATCGAATTGCAAAATTTTGTACTTCATTCAGAATAGAATAACGTCCGTTCTGTAGTAAATTAAAATAGTGACTCTTCAAACAAATAATTAATATATATATTAATAATGTATTCTAAGTGACATAAAAAAAATATAGTACCTAATTATTAACTTCCCAAAAGGGGGAGGCCTATGTTCAGCAGTGGACAGTCAACGGCTGATATAATAATAACATACTATATACACGCATATATAAAGAAATATTATAAATTTATATAAATAGAAGAAATTATAGATTCTGTTTTGTGTGCCCGTAAAGAATAAGCCATCCCTTCCTTTTCCGTAGGTGTCGTAAAAGACGACTTAGGGAAGGCGAATTGACGGGCAGAAGCGTCCCTCTTAAAATATCTCCTAACTGCGGTCGCTGATCCACCTGACAAGCATGACAACTACTAGTAAAATCCCCCAAGGGGGAGACTTATGTTCAGCAGTGGACAGTTAAAGGCTGATATAATCATGACCTGGTTTAAAAATAGTCTATCCCTTTCTCCATCCCATAACGTACATGTATACCAAATTTCATAGTAATTAGTAAAGTCGTTAAAGATGCTAAGAGGTAAAACAAACAAACTCACTTCCACGTTTATAATATTATATAGTAAGGATTAGTATGCGTATTCCGCAACGGAATTGCGCATTACGTAAGTAGACGAAGCAAGAAATGTATGGATAGATTAAAGGCTAGAACTGTAATTGTCTATTTTAGGGGGGAAGGGATTTTTAGTAATGAATAGAATAGAATAGAATAGAATAGAAATCATTTATTCAAATAAACTTACATTGAAGCACTTTTGAAAAGTCATTACATTTTTTTTTAATCTACCGCTCGTTCGGAAAGCTGTCTCATCACAAGAAGAACGAGCAAGAAACTTGCGTGTTGCTCTTTTAAATAATTTTATTATTACTTTACATTTTTAAGTTTAATTGTGTGAATTAAACTTAAAAATGAAATGTGAATTAAACTTAGAAATGAGGAGTACCAGTCCCATTGCTAGCAATATACTCTATCAGTATATGTATTCGACCTCCACGCGGATCCCCCTGGAAAACATCGTGCTGAATTCCAGATGTATTAATCACGGTAGGCTAACTGGCCTGTTTTTCATTCTCACCTATCATCCCTCACTGGAGCCCCGCCAGCGTATACCGTTAGTGCAGGCAGGGTTACCATTCCATTATCATTCATTAGAAAAAATTGTCTATCCCATTATAAAATGGCTTAAATAAAGTAAAATATAAAATAGTACTTGTTAAAATAACTTATGCTCAAAAAGGAAACCTATTAAACCTAAATGAACACAAGAAACTAATAATAATAATACAATGTATTTCACAAAAAAAAACCGACTCCAATTATGACAAATGCTAGTTATTTTAATTCAAAAACTAAACTACTAAACTAAACTTGATGAAATTTCTGTGGCCCCGGTCTATATCTTTTCAGATAAAAAATAATTTTCCAAATCAGTTTATACCTGACGGTGTTATGTGGTAATAAAATATGAGGCATAAAAAAATACAACCGAATCGAGAACCTTCTTTTTTTATGTCAAGGGAAAATGTGACTTTTCTTTTCTGAAAAGGTAATATGTGTATCTTTTAATAAGATTGCGAAATGTCGAATAAAAAAGCAAATTTTAAAAAATAATAATAAGAAAATGCAGAAATTTGTTGTGTAAAAAAGAAACAGTATCTAATGTTGAAAAAGATAACAGATATTAGATCAACGCGGGACAAAACCGTATTGAAAAAAAAAGGATTTTCGAAATTGGTTAAGTGAATTAAAGATTCTACAAAAAATAACTAATATATTTCACATAAAATAATAAATAAATTACATTTACTAAAAAAAAAAACAAACAAATACGTAATCAATTGTCTTTTTGGAATCGTCTAAAAATAAATCTAAAATATCAAAAAAATACTCTCCTAGTTTTTTTATTCATTTTACATGATCAGTTTATATTATTTGACAGTACCATACTAAACTAAATGCTTATATCGCAAGAACTATTATATCATTAAATACAAAAACTTTGACATTAATGCAAACACGAGTTTTATTGAACATTGGGGAGCCAAATCCAAAGTCTTGCCAGAAAGTCGATTACAATATTCTGGTATATTTTTTTATATAATTTATAATGGCTTCTGGCGGCCCAGCTGATGGAAAGCGGCAACCGTCGCTTTAATAGAAATGAACATTATCATGGACAGGGAAGGATAAGGGGGGCGTTGTCAGTAATGCGGACAACCAGTCCTATTGCTAGCAATATTCCTTGTCAGGTCGACCTCCACGTAGTTCCCTCTGAAAACTATCGTATTGAATTCCAAGCGTATACATTACGATAGGCTAACTGACCTGCTATTTTATTTTCACCTATCATCTCTCACTGCGGTCCTGCCAGCATATACTGTTAGCGCAGGCGGGGTTACTATTCTATTACCATTCATTACAAAAAAATATTATGGACATCACAGAATATACTATGACGTCCATAGTACTCCTCTTTTATTGCTATTATATGGCAGTGGAATTAGACAATACGGAGATCCTGTAATTTCAGTGCCATATTCCTCTAAACCAAAATACAGCTTTACGGAAGAAACACGAGTGAGATGAAGGTATGTACCTATGCAAATGATTTTTATATAAAGTCACCTTTAGATATGGCAATAATAATTGTGCTTAGAAAAAAGGAATAGGTACCATTAAATGTAAATTACATGCGCTCTACAATATTACTGGCTATTAAAATTTAATGAGCCAAATAAACACGAAAAAGACATCTTCTAAATCTCAGGAGCTTAATGATACACGTTCTTTTATTTACTCCATTTTGTGTAATTTTAATGTTCATTTAAACCTCTTTATATTTAGATAATTAAAACGTACCTTTAAAGATTAATTAATTAAAAATAAAAAAAAATACTAACCTTTTTATTGCAGAACTTTTCTTTTAAACGACACTGCAGCACGTTCAATGAGTTTTATTTTTAATAACAATAAATTAGTCTAATAATTAAATCTATAACTTTTTAAACTATTTTAGATTTAGAATAAAACACTTAAAAGTTTTCGTAACAATATTCCTCTTAAATAGTTCGTGTTCTGTTTTCAAATAAAACTGTTACTGGCCAGTTCTAAAACTTCGACAGATTTTATTTGTAAACAATAGGTTGTAAAGATTGGCAAAGGAACAACTAGTTGTTCAGCCAAGTTTGTACTTTATCGTAGTGGAGCAACTGTAACGAAACCACCGTGCGTATGGAACGCTAGCTGTATACAGACTGATCGCTCCGTAGTCACGCCATGGCTTATGGCTGTTCTTTTGAAAATTGGCTCTGCTATAAAAATAACAATATAGAGTTAATACAAAATGTAATAAATATATTTTTTTATTACTTTTAATATGTTTCTTACAAAGCGAAGGTACCCAAATCGATTGATTTTTTCAATTGTGAACCGGAAAAAGATCTCGATTGGAATGATTTTTCTCTGTGCATTTTATGCGATATCTTCATTAATTCTGTACCAATTTAAATGATTATTTTTTTAGTTAATTTTAAACTACAACATGATGCAGTCTATGTCGAAACGTCGGCTATAAAAATCAGGTGTGTAGATACTATTTATCTATAATGGCGTCGCGTTAAATCGCAATCATGATATTTAATATACCTTTTTAATTGAACTATTTACTTCCATTTTTGTCCCATACTGTCTATAATGAGACCAGTGGGGTTACCCTTGAAATAAATTCTAATAGATCGATATTAGAATTGAAACACTGGTCAAAAGTGTAAAACATTATTGAATTGTAATACTAGCCACATAATAATTCCATACTGTTCTGATAGATGCATATTAATGCAACTTGCAAACTGATCTCAATTTTAAATTAATTCCTATTTGTTATTTCATGTATTATTATACATATTATATATAATATTATACATTAGGTTGGATTGATATCGATATTAGATTCAAGAGTAGGCCTGCAGGTCAAAAAGTAAGTGCTAAGTCCAATGTTATGTCAAAATGATTTTTTTTTTTGTGAAATCTTAAATAATTTAGGTATTTATTTGACTCATTATATAATCATGAATGTCGTATTTGACATTAGTAAGAAAATAATGACTATTGATTTTTCTACAATTCCTCTAATCTATCAAAACCTGATAGGCCGCGCAGTATCTGAACGATGAGTGAAGAGTTTCTGGAAACAAAATTTAGAACTAAACTTATTTGGTTCCTTAAATTATTGAATATATATTACTCAATCACACCTAAAAAGATTGAGAGATTTAAATGAAATTTCGTACACAAATTAATCATATTATATACAAGCTGTTGCCCGCGGCTTTGCACACAAATTTTAAAAAATTCTTAGCGGATGCTTATGTTATAAAATAAAACTATGCTATGAGACTTATTTATTAGTTTTAGTTAGTTTTAGATATGTTGATATAATAGTCAATCAAAAGTATAAAGTTTAATAAGTATAAGTTTATACATTTTATTCCTTTTTTAATTCATAATTAATTTCATTCTAAAACTAGAAAATAAATATATTCTTCACGTAAATGTTTAAAATAAGTCAAATAACAAAATTTATTTATTTTAGACTTACAAAGTATAAGCATATACTGTGACACAGGTTCAAAAGTCCAAGCTAGGAATTTGTAATATCAACAGAGCAAGGGTTGAAATTTAATTACATGGTCACATACAGGTGATTAAATTACGCTTTTGTACTAAAATTCTAAATAATAAATAAAGTGACAATTTTAGATCACAAAAAAATTACGAGTTTAGTTGGGGCAAAATTAATATGGGATCAACAGGATCGAGGAGAAATATGGTAATTTAGACACAAAAATAAGTTATTTTATAACTTCATCAAATCTGAATCAATTTGAAATTTGATCATTCCTTTACAATCAATAAAATTTACTCCCGTATTACTGAAGTGGATTTTATTGTGTAGCAATAGCCTGGCGGCTTTGTCTACGTATAATTATCGTCATCATCATATCAGCCGTTAACTGTCCATTGATGAACCTAGACCTCCCTCTATTGGCGGGTTTTGCCAATAATTGTGCACACTAGGCCGGCGGGTTGGCAACCGCGGCTAGGCTTTGGTGATACTTTAAGAATAACGCTGCTACCCATCCCTCGATCACAAAATTTTCCTTGTTACCTTTTACAACACCCACGAGAAAGCAAAGGGTGGTTTATTCTATGTCGGGACCATACTGTCAACAATAAATTGTGACAATTCTTTTGTTATGGAGCGAAAAGAAAATGTTAAACCTGCCTGTGCTCTCGATTGACGCTGGTGGGATAAAAGTAACTCATGAGGATAAAACCGATCTGATGATCCACTATGACAAATTCAACAAAAATTTACTACAACGGAATTCCCATGGAGATCCACCTAATAGAGTATTATTAATGGGGTCCAGTAGGTGGAAAGGAATTAACTAGTAATGAGGATCTAACAGCTCCACATTTCTAGCAATATACTCTATCAGGTCGACCTCCAGGCGGTTTCCCTTGGAAACTAACTTGGTTAATTCTTTATGAAACCGTCACTATATGTCAACTGACCTGCTGTTTCATCCTAACATATCGCCTCTTTAGTATTGTTAATAATGAAGACTAAGGGCCCCATTGCTAGCAATATACCCCAACCAGGTCGACCTCCACGTGGTCCCGCCTGGAAATCATCGTGCTGAATCCCAAGTGTATTCATCATGATGAGCTAACTGACCTGTCTTTTCATCCTCCATTATACCATTATACCTCCATACCATTCCATCATCAACCATTAAAAAAACATATCATCTCTCACTAGTTCCGCGTTAGCTTTTACCGATAGCGCAAGCAGAGTTATCAAGTTATTATCACCCATTAAAAAAAATAGGACTCGCGAACTAGACTAAAATGTGCGCCAAAGATTATCTATTATCTTTCATTTGAATTAATAATCTAGGAAGATAAGATAAGCAATCGTAAAGGAATTTATTTATACGAGGACAAAATGTTCTTCCGACACCTATTAAGGAAATTTTCGTAATAAGAAATTTTCATAATTTTAAATTTTTTCTTAGTAATCCTTACTAACACCGGGGAAAGAATAGTTCTTGAATAGCGACTTCATACAGGCAAATGCAGTGTAGGACGGATGACCAACTAGATGATGACAGTAATAGATGGTGATGAAATGGTAACCCCGCCTGCGCTAACGGTATAAACTAGCGGGGTACTAGTAGGAGATGATAGGTGAAAAGGGAAGTCAATGTTTATCGTGACGAATACACCTGGAATTCAACACGATGGTTACTAGGGGGGTCACGTAGAGATCGACCTGACAAGGTGTGTTGTTAGCAATGGAATTGGTAGTTTGCATTACTAACAATCCCCCCTCCCCCACTAGATGGAGTAACGACTTCAAACGTATTACAGACAGTCAATGAATGCAAGTGGCTCAGAACCGTTCATTATGTCAATCTAGACGACGGTTACCTCTTTCCACCATGTGATCCATCAGTTTGAATGCCATTCTGAGATGCAATAAAATTAAATGAAATTAAAGAAGTTGTATAGGAAACAAACGTGCAATATACAATATTTCATTCCATTTTTGTTTCATAGCAAACGGTATATACCTAATCACCAATTAAATACCTACTTCCTGCATCGAAGCGTCGCAAAAGCAACATATTGTTTAACGATCGAGACCAAACAAAAGAAGTCAAACACAAAGACAAAGTTTATACAAATGCAGCCATGAAAAGCAAATTTAAATTATCTAATTACCTTACAAGGAAAATTTGTTTTGATTTCTTGTAATACAATACAAATCGTTGCCTTTGATTTCGACAGATGTCAGGTGCTGTATTTTTTAATTATTATGAACGTAAACATTAAACAGAGAAATCATAACAAAGACATTCTAAAATTTTTGGACTTATTTACAAATAGCTTTTACCCGCGACTTCGTCTGTGCGATCGAGATATGTTTACTAACTGGGATAAAAAGTAACCTACACCCTTCTTTATCCCATGTAGTTATTAGTAAGGATTCATCATCGTCATCGCAGCCATTATCTGACCACAGCTGAACATGAACCTCCCTATATTGGAGAGTTTTGCCAGTAGTTGCCAAGTTTGGTAGGGCTGACAACCGCAGTTAGACTTTGGTGGTGCTTTAAGAGGAACACTGCTACCTATTTCTCAACTCTTACCTAATATATTCCCTCAGTCACCTATTACGACACCCACGGGAAAGAAAGTGATGGCCTATTCTATGCATCAGCCACTCACAAAGATTGTTTTAAATTGTAACCTATGTAGCTGTAAGTTTTATTATATTGTTATGTAGTGAGAGAAATAAATATATATTTACTTTATGCTGATACACGGTGATTACATTTTCCTAATTCTCCTGCTTCCAAAATTGACTCGTACGAAATTGCAGATATCAGCTAATTAACTATAATAATCAATTATTGTAATACAAAATTATGGATTGACTTACATATATAAATTAAAGCGCTTATTTGCGTCTATCTCCATCTTGTTCGTGTTTACATATGAAACGATAGCTAAATTAGTGCCAATATCTATTTATGTTTGAAACATTATTCAGCAATACGATCCAGTGCGTAATTAATGAAATGCGGTAACTGACTGCTAATTGGTCAATATTGGTTATTATTCACGTATATCAAATAACTTACATTTAATTGAAAGATCAGCTGTTTCCCGCGGCTCCGTCCGCGCCAAAATCGTTTAAAAATTATCAATCAGTCTTTCACACATTTAACTTTTTTAATGTCTTATTAATTAAAGTTGCCATTCATCTTTATCAAAATAAAACAGTCCTACTTATTATACATTTAGTATAATCGCAGACATGATTTTTAATGTTAACTAACACCTCCTTCATAGTTCTTGTCGCCTAGTAGTACTACTACATAAGACACAATTTCCGCTCTCTCCGTAGGCTATTTCCTTCACTTTACTTCTACTTTTAATAAAGTACAGTCTTCAGAGTTCATCTAAGTGGCTGTGTTCATTACATAGTGGAGTCGGATCAAAGGTAATTCGTTTAATAATGTCTCGCCATTTTTCTATGTTGATCGTCATTCCAGTACATACATTCATGTAAAATCACTACTTTACTATTACAAATACTACAAAAAAATAGCCGAATTAGATCCACTGTTTACAAAAAAGCCCCCATTTTAATCATGATAAAACATACCGATATACAAAAATATATTTTATGAA